CATTGGACTTAGAAGAGACTTGAAGATTTCTAGAAACTTTGTCCACCTGCATAAAGCATGTCTGATATTTTCCAAAGCATGATGCTGATTACATTCTAAAGCCTTTGGAATTAGGGACACCACTGTCCTTCCAGATGACAGAGTCCCCTCAGCCACCACCAATACTGATCCCTGCGTTGGCCCAGTCCATGTCTGTTATACTTTTTCCCTTGGCTGTCGCTGGTTGCCTCACTGTCTTGCTTTAAAACCTTCCTCCCTTCGTGTCTTTCATGCTACCCGTCCCTGGGCATGGTCACCGCGCAGGCACTATGGCACCGAGCCAAATGTGGCTGCTGCAGATCGTACCAGTCCAGATGTGAGTGCAAGCAAGGGCTTGGTTAGGCTTCTCCAGGTTCTGTTCACTGAGCACCCATAAGCCTACTACTTCAAATTACTAACCCTAGCTCTTTCTACTCCACAGAGCTGCTGGAGGGTTGAACACAGAAACAGTTTACGTTATGAAGTATAAATCTCTACATAATGGATGGTGTTATCTGCTAAAGAGACATATTAAATTAATGAAATTCCCTGGCTCTGACAAGTTGTCCTTGCAAACAAAGAAGCAAAAAACTTACACAAATATGGTGGTAATAGAAACCAAAACACCAAAACCAGAAAATGCTATGCCAAATTACCTGATCACCCAATAAAATTCTGCCTTAATTTATGTCTCTTTCTCTCTAGTCTTTATATCCTGAACAATTATTGTTTCCTGATTTTTCCCAAGGTTTCTTGCTTTATTAAACTCTCATTTTGGGGGGAGAGTGGTACGACCTTTTGGTTTAAATACTGAATGAAACGTAAGAATAGCTTTTGAAGGGAGTGTAGAATCCCAAGTCTGTTGGTTTAACACAGGGCTTGGGGAACTCATGCATGAGCTAAGAATTTCTTTTATATTTTGAGGGTTTTTGTTTTTTGCGGAACCGGGGATTGAACTCAGGGCGTTGCACTTGCCAGGGAAGCGCCTATTCCACTGAGTCATCTCCCCGGCCCCTTCTTTTATATTTTGAGAGGGTTGAAAAAACCTAAGGAAGAACAACGTTTTGTGACTCATGGGTACTGGATGTGATTCTAGTTTTAGTTGTCATAGGCAAAGTTCTATTTTAACTCACTCACACCATTTCTTTGACTGCTGTCTATGCTTTCTTTAGGCCTGGAAATGTGGGGCTAAAAATGCTAAGGAATACCCCCTGGCCTTCAAGTCCTGAAATGTTCCATTTTTGGCTCTTTCTCTACCCACAAAAGACAAATAACTTTTGTCAAAGTTATTTTATTTCAACATTGAACCCCCATATCAGACATGTCCTTAGTTTTGGACTTGTAACAGCAAAGTAAGTAAAGTGTGGTCCCTGTCCTCCACAGTGTGCGTCTACAGGAGAAGATGAGCAACCAGAGGATTGTCTTGCTTGGCAATGCTGGAGGCAGGAGAAGGTGGTGGGGCTGAGAGAGAGACCCAGTGCCCAGGGGTGCAGTCTTCTGCCTCCTGTCCACCAGCACCTTCCTTTTCCTTTCTCCAATACACTGGCCTATAGGCATGATGGGTGGACATGTCAAGAGAGTTCCAGAGCTACCTGCCACATGTTGGGACAAGGGACAAAAGGAACAGATAAAGAAGGCAACCCTCCCTTCTTAACAACATGAACTACCTAGTTCTAAATTTGGGTGCAGCTAGAGGACTGGCCCCTTTAAGGGCTCTACAGCAGTAGGTTTGAAGGTGACAGTTAGAGATTTCCCAGCATCTGACCCTGGCTGGAATGCCTTTTACTCTTGTACTCATCCTGTGTATGATTCCTGGAGACGATGGTCCTACAAGCATCTCCTGCTCCTCCTTTAGATCTATTTACATGCAAACTCTGACCCAAGGGAGAACACTCTCATGTTTCCCTGTCACTTCACAAGAAGGTACCCTGGAGCATCACAGGGCAGTGTCAAGCACTCATCTCAGACACTGCTAAAGGAGGAATCCAAACTCAATAAACAATAGAAAACACTAGTTAGCCAATCAACAAATCAGTACAAAAAAACCAGTGCCATGCAGTTATAGTTGAGTTGTATTGGAGTTTGAGGCACAAGCCAAGAAGCAGAGTAAAGACCTGGTCATGGAAGAAGACCCAGATTTAGCCAATGTGATTGAAGCTCCATCCTTCATTACTGTGTGCCTTCAGCAACATTAGGCTTCCTTTAGCCTCAGTTTCTGCTTTGTAAAGGAAACAGGATGGGTCCAATGACATCCCTTGCCTTTCTCTGCTGGATCTCACATGGAGCTGAGTTACAAACACAGAGGACAAACATAGCTCCTGCTTCACAGCCCAGCCAAAGTGAAGACTGATGTGGCAAGGCTCTTTCCAAGTGTAGGTGTCACAGGGAGGGAATAGGGACAGCCTGGAAGTCATTTCAGTCCCCAGAACATGAACTCATCATTTCCAGACATGCAGTTTCTGAAAGCATTTGGTCTGTCTTGACTGTGGGGTGCAGGTAGAGAGACAGCCCCCAAGCAACTGTGGAATTGACAAGTTTCCCAATGCAGAACCATCGACTCCACCAGGCATTGAAGGCATTGTGTAGAGAGGACGTGTAACATCCTGTCACAGGCTGACATCCACACCCAGCACCCAGCTGGCGAGCCTTAGCCCATGGAAACAAGTGCCTTGAAAGATAAACTTTTCATTTGATGGAGAGTATATGTTGAAACAGAACATCCCAGTCTCTGATGAGGCCTCCAGGCACAGTCTGCAGTTTCAGTCACAGATAAGAACACTCAAAGGGCCAAATACTGATAAACTGTACCTCTTTTTATTACCTAAGGATATTGAATTCACTATATGAAAAGTGCATTTTCAAATCTGCATTCCTTTCTTGAATTCAAGTTCCTTATGGGAAAGAAGTGGGCATAGTATTTCTTTATTCTCTCTGCTTATCATAAATCCTGGAACAAAAGGCTCCAATGTGTACCAAACGTATGCTGTGTGAAATGGAGTCAAACTCATGCAACCAACAGAGAGCAGGGAACTGTGGAAATCCAGTAACTCACCCCTTTTCTACAAAAACCAATGAGAAACTCGATTTTCACTGCTGCTTAGGGGAAGAAATGAAACTGCAGAACAGTGTATAGTGGTACCCTAGTTTAGGAAATTCGTTTGTTCTATAGCTCTGGAAGTTGGCCACACTCATGCTTGTGTGGGAAACGTGGCCATGCTCACACTCGTGTCACCCAGGGCGGAGTCCACAAACAAAAACAAAATTTTGCCCAATTCTGCTATTTGAACACCAAATCGTTTGCAAACAGATGAGCTTGTGAAGTGTGCCTCCACTGTACTTTGCTTTTTAGTTCTAAATTTTGAGACAGTAGAAATCACCCAGGTTTAGGCAGAAAATTCCCCTTGCCTGAAACTTCAACTGAAGATGGCTTTCACTTCTGAAGGATTCAGAAGCATGAAAGCAAGTACTGACTTGCTTTTCCCACTACATAAGCATGAACTTCTCCCATGAAACGCGTGTTTGGACAGACACGCAAAGGACAATCTTTTACTGCAGTCCTAAGGCCCAAGCAGCTGAGCAGCCTTAGGCAAGTGATTAAACTCCTTTGGGTCTGCTTCTTGTTCAATAAAATCAGAAGCATCATGTTGTGTATTTTATAACTCTGAAATTGCACATTCATAAAATTTAGTAGGGAGTAGGTCAAAGGTCAAAAAGATGTAGCCTTCATTGCAAAATAATTGAACACTAATTCAGAATGCTTGACACATTCTGTTTCTCTCTTAATGTCTTGTTCCTGTTGCAGCTTTCTGCTGGTAGAATAGGAGAGGAGAGAGAAGGAGGGGGGAGAGAAGGGGTGAGGGAGAGAGAGAGAGACCAAAGGAGGCTGCTGGGGCTTACTTCAAAAGCCAGAGGCAAAGGAAATACACTTTCCTTGGAAACCAATTGATGAGTTTCCCAAACAAAGCAATTTGCTAAATTATGCAATATGTCTTCCTCTTCCAATCTCTCCACTGTGGTTTAAGTGACTCAGAATTTTTGCTTTACCTTATCCTAGTTCCCTTTGGAGCTAATTGCTTTAAATTTAGAACAGTGAATTTCTGTTGCTTGGATTGTCCCTGAAAAGGCCCATTAGTTGAAGATTTGTTCCCCAGCCTGTGGTCTAGTGGGAACCTCTGGGAGGTGGGGCATAGTGAATGGAAGGGAGGACACTTCTTGGACACTTCCTGTGTTGTTTTTTTCCTTCCCAGCAGACAGGAAGTGAACAGTTTTCTTTCCCATTTGCCCTTCCCTGATGCTTTTCACAGGCCTACCACAGACCCATACGCAATAGGGCCAACAATACTGGGGTTAGACCTCTGATACAGTGAGCCAAATAAACCTTTCTACCTTATCAATTGTTTATCTCAGTTGTTTTGGTACAGTGATGGAAGGCTAACCCATAAACTGCAAACTATGCTTTTGGGTCAGGGTTCTAAACTCAGATCTGCCACTCACTGTGTAGTACAGGCCAAATTATTTAATGTATTCAAGACGGTTTTGTTAGAATTTTTCTACATTAGAAGAGATGATAAATAATTTGATTTTTATATCCAAAGACTTGAACCTATATTAGGGGTTGAGTGAACACTAACATACTATTAAAAGCAGACATCTTAACTCTTGAAGGAGTGTTCAGGTAAGATTTAACACTCAGTTTTTGTACTTGAAGAAGGCTCTTCATGCCTCTCATTCCTATAACGTGTATTCATTGCAATCTTTACCTTTCCTGAGATTTAGCCTGTTCTATGTTTTGGTCAATTTCAAAAGTAAAACTGCCAGATAAATCCACACAGAAAGAACATTTGACACTATTTTTTTTTTATTTATTGATGATAACTAACAATCTATTAGAGATACTTGTTCAGAAGGAAAAATTGTGTGGGTGTGTTTTACCTTGTATAGAATAGGAAAATAGCTTCAAAGATATCAAATATTGAACTCACCTGTGTAGGAAACAGCAATAGCAGTGATTATTTTCAAAAGCAAAAGATAAGCATGAAAATAATATCCTAGAAAATGAACTGGAAAACAAAAGGCAAACAAGAGTAATAAAAAACAATGAACTTGACAGAGAATCAAAAATATCACACCTTGAAATGAAAACCCAACAAGCATAGTTTTAAAATAAAATGTAGATTTGACATAATGAGAAAAAAAGAATTTTAAAAATAGATCAGAAATTTTATAGTATTAAACATAATGATATAAGATGAAAATATGGAAGAGTAAATAGATTTAATATGCTTGGTCAGACTTCTTTAAAAAATGTGAGACAATGGAGAAAGGACATTAATGAAGAAAGTTACTCTAATGTTTTTCAGAAGCAAAGGGGAACACTGCCCTCTGATTTCAGAAACCAAGAAGAGTTAAAATAAAATAAAATACCCCTCATCTATATATGTCATAATAATACAAAAACAAATATAAAATGTAGCTTTTCAATTTCCATTAATACTATTTGCTATTTTTAGGTTATCAATGTAATAAAGTGGCAATTAAACTAATGGTAGTTGTGTCAAATGTTAGTTATCCTGTAACACAAAGAAATATGTAATAATAAATAGATCAAAAAATGTTCAAAGAAAAAGAAAACAGGCTAAGTTTAAAGAGAAATGAAAAAATTTCCATAGTTTAGGAGAAAATTACAGATACAGAAATTAAGTCCAAATATAAACAAAACAGTTTAGTGAAAAGGGAAGGGTACCAGAATACATGCACCTTATAGTGTTTCATAGACACTTTTGATAGAATAATTGTAAGTGAAAAGAGAAAAATAAGTCAAGTTGTAAAAAGAAAGTTGGTTTATCTACTTTTTAGTCTAAAATTTTTAAGGCAAAAGAAGTCTTATTGGAATGAATGCAGTTTACTTCATAATGATAAAATGTTTTAAAATTAACCATTTTTAATTTGTATTACTCAATTATTATTCAAATATTACTTGAAATATATGAAGCAAAGTGTCCATACAAATCTGCCATCAGAGCGGAAGAGTTTGACACTCTTCTCTCAGTAACTGACAGAAAAATGCAGGAGAAACTTAATAATGGCATAACATGTTCAGATAATATTTGATTAACATGACTGAAATATTTGCTGTCTTTGTAATACCAATAGCAAGCACCAAATTTAACTATTGTGTATTTGACATTTGTATGGTTTAGATATAGAGTGTTCCCCCAAGGCTTACATGTTCAGAGGCTGAGGTTTTAGAAGGTTGTTGGGTCATCAGAGTGCTGTGCTCACCACTGGATTAATTCTCTGAAGAGTTCAGAACTGACTGTGTTTTCAGGAGGCAGGATCTGGTCAGAGGAGGCAGGTTATTTGGGGTGTGACCTGGAAGTGTTTCTCTCTCTTCCTGGCTCCTCCCTTATCTTTTGGCTTTGTGGCTCCCTTGAAGCTCTCTGCTTAGGCCTTTCCAAAGTACCTTGGAGACAGTGACCTCTGATTATAACTGTGTGCTGAAATAAACCACTCGGCCTTTAAGTTTAGGGTGTTGAGTACCTTGTACCAGGGACAAGGAAAGTGACTGAGAATATTCTTCTGAAGCAGTTATCTTAGTACTGGATGAAGAAATAAACTACATAGTCTTCACTATGGAATTGTACAATACCATTTCCTTTCTGAAATAAATCTGAAAGCTGAGATTTAGATAACACTGTCAAAAGAAAATCATAAGGATAATTTGATAATATTTTGAATTAAGGAGGAATAGAATACAACATAAAAATAGAAAAAAGCAAAGATATTGTTCAACTACTGCTCACGGGAAAGTTTGTCTCCTTAAATAAGTAGGTCAGAAAGGAAAAAATGCTGAAAATTTGTGAGACAGATATAAATATCAGGAATTTACACAATAAAAATGTTGATGACAATGTGAAGAAACCTAATCCTTACTCAGCCCTAGTGAGATTGTAAAATGGTTTGGCCACTTTTGAAGGCAATTGGGCTGTTGCTTAAATGTTTAAATGTAAAAGTTACCACATAGGCCAACAATTCCACCCCTATGTGGAATTTTTCTTCAGAAAAATGAAAATGTTTGTCAATAAGAAGACTTGAACATGAGTTTTTATAGCAACTACATTCGTTAAAATCATTCCAAATGTTTATCAATGGGTGGATAAATAAAACGTGCATATTGAAACCATGAAATCTTATTCAGAAATGAAGGAAATAAAGTTCTGCATCATGCTACTATAAGGATGAGTCTTAAAAATGTTTTGCTAAATGAAAGAAGCTGTTACCTATGGCCACATTTCTGTGGAGTATACATATTAAGCAAATAGACTGAGACAGAAAGTAGATGAGTAGTTGACTGGGGTTGGCAGAGGAGCAATGAAGGGTGACAGCATACGCTGTAATATTTCTTTTAGGGGCAATTCACATGTTCTAAAATTAACAAAATATTAGAATACATGAAAAGCTGTTACACTGAACATTTTGAATGAGTGAATTACAGAATCTGTACATTATATTTCAATGCAGTTGTTAAAGGAATTTAAAGAAAAGTAAAATAAATCCAAAGGAAGTGGCATGGGGGCTATAATGAGCGGAAATGCAGACATACCTTAAACATGACACAAGGCTCAGAGCAAGCACAGGCTAGCGGTTGTTTTTCCTTGAATTCCACAAGCTGGTTAAGCTTGAACATCCCACATCAGAGGTCAACGTTTTCTACTTTAATGAATCAGATATTATATGTTTCAGGCTTTCAGCTACCAGAAACTTCTGCTTTCAGTAAATCTTCATAAGTAAACGGTGGGCTGGCTTCCTGAGCAAGGGCCTTGGCTTGCTGAGCCCTGGGCTGGGCATCTCCTGTAAGCACTGCTGATCTTCTCTTGAACATCTGGGGTCTTTGAGCCATGTGTCACCACTGGGAGGACAGGGAAGAGTCCCTGGAGTGATTTTCTGTAGGAATTAATGCTCTTGTGGAAATCCAGCTTGGAATGGTCAATAATCTTTATTTAGCTGGGGATAAAAAAGCCTAATAAGTTGAAAACATACTAGTTTACTAAGCTGAAAATCCTTTCACAAGCCTGGAGATGTTTAAATGGAAAATAACACATTTATACTTCTTAAACAGTATACCAAAAATTCATTCTCAGTAGATTAAAGTTCTTAAGGGACAAGAAAAAAGTAAAGCTTTTATAAGTGCACACCATTCCTAATGTCATAGCAATTACTCTCTTTAAAATATTTTTCTGGGGGCCAGAGAGATAGCTTAGTAGAATAAGTGCTTGCCTGGCAAGCACAGGGTCCTGAGTTCAATCCCAGGTACCACAAAATAAATAAATAAATAAATAGATAAAATAAATTTTTGAAAAAAGGTAATAAATGGAAAAAAGAGAGACAAGAACAAAAATTAAAAATTTCTTGAAAGTAAGAGGTGATGCCCAATGTCCAATCTTACATAACTATATCTGTTAATCTGAGCAACAGATTTTTTGATAAAAATAGATAGTATATCAACCATTGTTAATATGCTGTTCTTGTTTTGAAAATCTGTAACATATGTATTGTGGTATGTTACCCTGTTTCTGATTTTTGTTTTTACTTTTATTACTCTTCAAAATAAAGTAAAATTGTAATAAAAAAGAAAAATTAAAGCTTTCTTAGATTATATAGAAGAATGTCTTTACGAGGTTAGTCGTAGTATAAGATGTCTTAAACATGACATGAAAAACACAAGCCATAAGAATAATTTCAAAAAGCCATTTATGGTGGCATGTGCTTATAATCCTAGTACTGCAGAAGCCCAAGGAAGGAGAAATTATAAGCCTAGAGGAGGCAATTTAGTAATTTAGCAAAACTCTGTCTCAAATTAAAAACAAAGTAAAAGGTCTGAGAAATATCTCAGTGTCAAAACCCTGCATTCAATCCCAAACTGCCAAGAAATACTATTAATAATAATTAATAACTTCAAATAAATTATAGTCCAGAATCAATATTCACCAAAAGACTAAAAATAAAGCTAAAAATTACAGCCCCAATGTGGGAGAAGACACTTGCAATGTGCCCAAATGGTTAATGTCTACCTTACAAATAAATAAAACCATTATCCATTGGAATCTTGAGAAATGACCGCCACAACAAAACATAAAGAGATAAATAAAAGGAATGGAAAATGCTTCTAAACTTGACAAACTGCTTGAGATTATCACATTTCAGGGAATATGTACTGAGATACAATAAGACTCATTCTCCTTGGAAAACCCCATAATAGTGAATGCCACTGACAGGGACACCTACATGGTCAAAAACTGTTTGGAGCACATGACAGAAATGCTCAGAGTAGTCCATTTTGAGGGGTAGCCCCAAGTAAGATACAGTTCATGTGTCTTGCAGGATATATCTAAAATAAAACTGTATCCAGTCATGTAAGTGGTTGTCCTGCAGCTATGTCAGATAAAGATGTGTTAAAGTTTCCAAATGAAGGGCCAGTGAGATAGCTTAGTGGACTAAGTGCCTGTTTAGGCAAACGCAGGGGTTGGGGTTCGATCCCTGGTGCCACATACTGCACCAGCCCCATCCTGGGAACTGCTGAGCCAGTGACTGAGTCTGGGAGTGGTGGTGTGTGCTTGTAATCCCAGTGCTTGGGAGGTTGAAAACAGGAGGAGCACTAGGAGTTCGAGCTGTAGTGAGACCCTGCACAAAAAACTAAAAAGAAAACCCCAAAACCCCCCTAAAGTTACCAAATGAGTGCTGAGTGAGCCACTTTGCAAAGTCACGTACATGACATACTTCCACTTATAGGAAGTCCATAAACCAGAGGAAAGTACGAAGGTGTACTATGTGCACATGTCTGTAACCCAGTGAACACATAAATGCAGCAAATGGAGACAGGAAGTAAGAAACCAAGGTACATCTCGAAAAGGTGGAGGTTACCCAGGTGGCATTAATTAGGAAGAGTAATGTAATTGAGTGGGCTGGGCAACGTTTAATTCCTGCACTGAATGGTTGTTACATGGTTTCTCCTCGGTTTCTATTTACTTAATAGGCTTCACATTTAAGTTTTCTGTGCCTTTTGGTATAGATTATAATTAACTATATACATTTAGAAATGAGGATGGAGGAGATCCTGATGCATGGAGCAGTGGTAGCAGTCTTGTGATCATGAGGAGGCAGGCAGCCTGAGAGCTCAAATGGAGACTGCACCAGGCAGGAGACAGGACCTGGAATGTTCCACCCAGTGTCACCATGGTGATGGGACAGTCCTGAGGCTGCTGCTCCTGGATGATGAACAATAAAGACAAGCGATGAGATTGTGTGGTCAACATTAGATCCATCATGAATGAGCTTTGAAGGTTGGAGGTGGCCCTGGATGCAGGTGGTCAGTGCGGTGTGACTGCGAGGGCATGTTCTTGTGCTTTTTCCTTCCCTTTGCTTTCTGCTTCCTGGTAGCCATGACATGAGCAGCTTTCCTCCACCTGGCCCTTCTGCCACAATGCTCCTGTCCTGCATTGCACCTGCTGAGAATTGTCCACCCAAATAAATCTTACCTCCTTTAAGTTGCAGGTTTGGGATATTTTGTCCCAGTGACAGTAAAGTGACCAATGTAGTGCTATTTGTGTATTCTGAAGTTGCATCCTTATTTATTAGTGAGCATCCCTAGAGGGTTGTGAAAAGCATACCTATAAACTCTAGCTCAGGACAACATTCTTGGCTTAGATATTTCCAATAAAGAAGGAGCAAAGACTCTGGAAATGACATTCAAATAGCCAGCTAGCTTGGGTATTGTCGTTCTGAGTCCCTCTGGCTTTATGCACTCTCTAACTCTGTTCCTGTCATTCTACTTTTGAGAGCTTTAAGGCCAGGTTTCCTGTGGACTTGTATTCATTCATGGACACCACTGCCCGAGTGGATGTTAGGTTCCTGTATAGCTTCAGACAGAGAAGATAGAACATCGTTCCTCTAGACTTCTTTCTCCAGTGAATGACACAATCATTTTAAAAGATAACTGTGTGTGTAATTAAAATATGATGAATGTGAGAAAAAATGGCCTTGTAAAACAGAAAGATTTAACGATGCATATTGTGTTCCCTGGGTGAGGATTAGTTCCTGTCATGGGGTCATAATTCCCAATTGACAGTTGATGCACACTCAACCTACTGAAGCCAAATAGACACCTTACTGAAGGGTAAAGCAGCTACCCATGTGGATGTGGAGTTGGAAGAGATGCTGGTAGGCTTCGAAAATACCCACCCTTCAGTGTAACCATGGCAAGGAAACTGACACCTAGAAAAATCTTTTTTCTCTTCCTTTCTCTTCTTTCTTTCCTTCTTTTCCTCCTTTGCTCCTTCCTTT